TTGCAACACCTGATCGAATCTGGACACCAAGCTTACTTGCCCAGAGAGGGACTTCAAAGTTGTCTACAGAGTACGTGGGAATTTGGCTAAAAGAGGGTAAGGAATCAAACTTCTTCAAGCCGTATGAGCGATGGCAAGTCACATGTTAAATCCTTAACATTGCCCACAGTAGGAGTTCGCTTAGTCATTAAATCTACAATAGACCTGATTTATCTTGACATCAAACACACAATTTTTATTTTTTGTTTTTTAATTGTATTATCTTCTTCCCCTACTTCCTATCAAATTTCTAACCCTTCCCACACACATGTTAACTTTACTTTCTTTGGAACTCTAGTCGAATTCTACTCAACCCGTTCCATTATTTGACGTCACTCAACTTACTTACTTAACAGATACCACCACCGCCAACAGCACTCACAGAACTACCTGAATGAAATCAAGCTACTGAAAGCCAGTGGGGAAGACAGGAGGACCAGATGAAATTCGCCCCAAGCATTAAAAACAGACCCAGAGGCTGAGATAGGCATGCTGACGCCATTATTGCAAAAGTTTTGGAAGGAAGGAAGGAAAGCCGCCTACCGATTGTACGAAAGGGCGGCTACCTTGTCAAGCTACCAGAGGAAAATGACCTACAACTCACTCTGAAAGGACTGGCGTGGAATAACGCTCTTGTCCACGCCAAGAAAAGAAACACTAAGTTTCATCATCCCGGAGATGATAAAAAATGGACAAGATGCAGAAATCCGCCAGCACTGATTAGGCTGGATTCAGGAAGGGGTGAATCGTCTGCTGCGGATCAAACAGCAGGTCTACGCATCGTCATCACAGAACAAAGCATAGAACGGTAGTCGAACCTCGCTCTACCTCACCTCCGACAGACAGCGTTGACTGAGAAGTAACTCAGAAACTGCTCAAACACTATGGCGTGCAGTACCAAAGTCCTTATCAACTTCATTCAGCCAGAACTATATGACAGTGCCACCTGTCAGATGATCCACAACGGAAAACTCAGTGAAGCCTGCATTAGAAATGAATACAAGATAAGACAAGAAAGGACAAGCTGGTTGCTTATTATCACCAACGAAGAAATTCTTAATTGTGGTGGACTGGATGATGCGTCAGACCGTGAGTGAGGAGTTAGAAGACAGAAATACGCTTCAGTGACCAATAAGAGTACTCTAGAAGATCTGGATTTCGTGTGTAGATGATTTATGTTTAATGTGACACAGACTCAAAACTTGTTGGCAAAAACCAACAAAGTGGCAGGAGAAGCATGCTGGTAGCGAATTCAGGACTCCATATGAAGTCGACATTAAGAGGGTGGAGACGGAAGTGATGAAGATAACTAGCCAACCAACCAGCCAACCAACTAACCAACAAAAACCAGCAACAATCACCATCGAAGGGAGGGATTTGGCACAGGTTACTTCCTTCACTTATCCAACTAAGGGGCACAGTTTCAACCCTAGATAGCGGAGCGGATGAAGATGTCAAAACCAGTCAGCCAGCCAGCCAGCAAGGATCGGAAAGGCAAGATACGTCCTCATCAACCTGAAACCAGCGTGCAAAAAATCGTTCGCTCTCACACAGCATTAACAACAAGATTCGAATTTTCAACATGAATGTCATGTGAGTCATTTCTTCTATCTGGCTGAGAACCCTGGCTGGCATGTCGCGGAAAGCATTCCTAACAGGCTATTTCGGACTTTTATCCATAGCTGCCCTCCATTCATACGGAGGATGAGGTGGCCAGAATCAATCGGCAACAAGGAACTCTGAGAACGAACGATTGAGAACCTGGCGCTCAAAAAATATTTAGAAGAAAATGGAGATGAACTGGCCACACGTTTAGAAGGTTAAGTTATTCTAATGATACGAAGTAATGACAATATCCCTACTGTATTTGAATCACCAACTTGAGCCTTTTTCCTGTTAATCAAAGTGAAGTGAAGTCCTAGTTTCCCTCATGAGTTTGTCAGTCATCTTACCGTAACCGGTTGTTTCTGGGTGTTCCCTCACCATCTAGTCTACTTGTATTGATTTTCTTGACCTCAAACTTGACTTTTATCATGACTTCCCTACTATCGATAAACTTTGTCTATACCAGTATGTTTGTTGATTATGAATTCGTCTGAGTAGCGTTGTTAGTGTTTCCTTTGCCTTGACTTTGTATTTCTATCCAGCTGAACTAGTATCCATAATTGTCTGCATGCTTTGGCATGAGGGAATGAATATCATGTCTGTTGACGACTAGTTTAATTTCATGTATGTGAAGACGAAGAGGACGTCCACCTAGACTAATATAATGATGTTATTTCAGTTGTTGCAATTTACCTTAGATATGATGTTGATCTTGTCTTCTTCTGATTTGGCGTCTTCGAGCTGACACTGGTAAAGATTTAAGCGATTTCGTTGATTTGTGGAAGAATTCTAATCCAGAAGTTCTTTATAGCCTGTCAGTGATTTCAGAGATATGTCTGAACACTGAATATTAACATTCATGGAGTGCATTCTGGATATTGAGTGAAAACCAAGACTGAGAACATTTTGTAGAATAATGTGATTTTATTCAAACAGAAGTTGTGAAAACATTTCTATAATACAGAAATATTTGTTGAACTGATGATTCCTTGATTCTTGAAATGATCGCTTACTGCTGGTATAAAATATCCTGACTGCTATACATACCTCCGATATACTGTTGCGTTTAATGGGGGGACTCAGTAATTCATTTTAACATATAAAAGTAGATATCTGGATTCAATATGTGTACTTTTAACACAATTTTTATGACTATGTTTATCTAATTACTTGTTAATTGGTGTTATATTTTTAAGTGATAAAACTTAGAAAGTCAGATGATTACAATTTAAAATATATACAGTTGATTTAATTGTAAAGGAAATAGTCACTTTAAACATAAAATCCTGCTGTCTAAATATAAACAGAGAAAGAAGAAGCTTCAATGCAGAAAAACACGAACCAGTTTTTATTTCATAGGCTATTTTCAGCTGTGCACAACTTGTACTGTAGTGGCAAATAATTCCCCCAGAAATGACTAGCCTACAGTTTTTATCATTCAACATCAGATGTTGACTTCAGCAGATGAAAGATGTCGACGGGTTCGCAGGACACGCTATGTACAGATGCAAGTGTATATCCTCCAACTGCCAGTGCACTTAGGCTGACAACTGTTCAGATGTCAAATAGATACAAAGTGTATTTAGGGATTAGAAATGGGGAGCCATGATGACTGCTTAGATAGCTACAGTTGTGGTGAGAGCTGGCTGTTAGTCAAAATTGGTGGACATTAATTTACTTCAATGTTTATGTCCCCAATATTAGTCGTGAGAAAAATGAGAACAAAGGCTTTGCGTAGGTGGATACAGTTAACACATAGATGATATGATATTTAAGAAACAGTCATAAAGAGATGCAAAGTTAACTTTCTGTGAGAAACAACCAATCAGGAGACTGTGTTTTTCCGCTAACAATAATCTATGGTAATGTACATGGAAATCTATAAGTATGTGTTGATTTCCATAAAAAACGATCTGTTTCCTTGCCCTTTGTCTTCTGTTTTTACACATTGGGTACACAGACTACTGAAAATAATACAACAACATCCCAAATAAAGAGGAAGTCTTACCATTATGAATAAGATTTTATTTTGATAAATCACACAGTGTTGTACAGTTATATTAACTGATGACTTATCGAGCACAAATCATTGCTCGCAGTCATATCAAGTCATTCACACACATTCACAACTTCTTCCTTCATTTATATATATGAGTGAAATTGATAAGGCATTTGAATACAAATGAATGTAAGATAATGTACATTCAAAAATAATAATACGAGTGTTATTGATCAAATCGAGAATCGAGAAGGCTAGAAACATATTCATCAACCTGAAACCAGTCTGGATATTTTCGTCAGTCAACATCAGTAACAAAATTCAGATTTTCAATACAAACGTCAATTCATTTCTTCGATACGGATCAGAAACTTGGCGGGCGGGTCACAAAGAATATTTTCAACAGCCTGTTGCAGACCTTTATCAACAACTGTCTATACTGTCTCTATACTGAAGATCAGATAGCCGGGCCGGAAAGAATCACCAACAAGAAACTATGGGAACAAAAAAACAAGAACCAATCGCCCAACAAATATGCAGGAGAAAGTAGAGATGGATTGGACACTCGCTCGTTGGGGAGGCCACTGGATAACATCGCGCGCGCGTCAGGCCATTGCTCGAGTGGAACCCGAAAGAGAATTGGCGAGTGGATGACATGGAGGAGATCGTGTGAAGAGGAGTTGGAAAAGTGTGGACTGACATGGATGTAGGTGAAAAGTGCAGCAGAAGGAAGACAGAAGCAAGTGGAGACGCGCAGTTGAAGCCCTATGTTCCACTAGAAACCCAAGAGAACAATAATAATATTGATCCATTACAATCAGATGGGAAATAAATAAGACGAGTGTTTTTATAGTCATAATAAGTAACTTGTTAGAATGTTATGGCGTACGTGAGTTGAAATAGAATTTTAAGATTATTTATTATCCTCTTCTGATTTGACCGGTGGTAATAATATCTTCCATATTTTTGGTGTTTGCATTGAGTCATTTCTGTTGCATGTGTTGGGCGTAGACATTTCAGTGGACCGGGATTCAGTAATCAATCTCTCTCCACCTACCTAGATTACTTCTTGGAATTTTAACCCTCTCCCACCCTATTGTATGGGTGTGTATTAATGCGTACAGTGCAACTGCTGACCTGTTTCCCAAATTACTTATCCTTTTGGGGTCAGCCATTCTCACCTTAGCTAAATTCTTGTGTTCCGAGAATCTGACTCCCCCTGACCTACTAGCAGCTGACAAAGAAACGCACAATAACCCCGATATTTAGCTACATGTATAAAAAGAAACAATGAATATCTACACGTTATAATTCATTAAACAGAGAAGTAAAACAAAGCAGCAGACCTAAAAGTGAATTATTTTGCACTCTTGATTTCATAATCATTTATAAATCCTAATTTGTTTTCTTCAGATTGCCAGAAACACTCACGATTCCTCTTCCACTTCGATGTTCCATCTTCGTAGATTTCCTGACAAAAAAGTATTTAATGAGTTGAATTCAATGTTACTTTCTTCCAAATTGGCACATGTGATTTAATTGAATCAATAAGAAATTTTACAGCTTCGAGACTGTCTTTACGATGAGGCGAACTGATAGCAATAGCGACACTGATCTCACCAACAGGAACTAAACTGAAGACAAATAAAAGATATCTGTGATATTTGAAGAATACAAAATTCACTTTGACAATATAAATAGGCTTACTTACAAAAAATACAAATGAATTTATAAGTTTACCAGCCGAAACGTAAGAGAATTCGAAAGATCTATCGCATAGTATTCAGTTGTGTTTACTTAGTCACCTATTAAGAAGCTCTGTATTATAATCATTATTATTCCTTGGGTTCTAGTGGAACAAAGGGCTTCAACAACACATCTCCACTTTCTTCTATTTTCTGCCATCCTTTTCAGCTGGGTACACGACTGCCTATAATCTCCTATCTCTTCCTCACACGATCTCCTCCATGTCACCTGAAGACGACACACTCGTTGCTTCCCATTGGGATTCCCCAAGAGAAACACTTGCTTCTCCCCTTACCGTTTCACTGAAGAACAGAAACTGCTATACTGATGCCTAGGGAAGTAACGGTAAAATACTCACTGAGATTAATGAGAGTCTTGAAGTGAATCCATCACAAAAAGCAGCTTAGAACTAGGAAAACGTCTGTATGGCAGCTTTTGATCTCCACTGATTCTCTGGTTGAAGATCAGTCAGTCACAGACCTCCTCTCTGCTTAATAATTACAAAGATCGTGTTCTATGGAGATGTTTCATGAAACCCAATTTCTTATTCTATGAAAACTGCATTAAACACACACAAAGATTCAGATGATTAACGCGTTGTGGTTTATAATAATGCAGTAATATGTTGTGTGTGCTACTGACAAGAATTTGTGAGTTGTATATAGTGACTTTTCCTGAAGAAAAAACTCCAAAAATAGAGTGGTAGATTAAGTTGTAAACGTAAAAAATAAAGATAACTGTGAGGTGATATAGAAATCATGTATTGAAGTAATGAAAGAAGCAGAACACGAGCTCAATTTAGGATAGCCCACGCCTTGATAAAGGAAAGAATTATTAGGCATTTAACAATGTTAAATTTGAAAACAAAAATTGTAATCTGTACCAATATGTATCTTAATCGCTCAAATTTATTTCATTTTATGAACAGGCTTATAAAATCGGTACATTTAGCTAGTCACACTTTTATGATTGGAAGTTAATCGCGATACATTTGTTTTGATTCCACATATAAATTAAGTTTCAAAGTGGTTAGCGATAAATACTACTGTCGCAAATGTTTTCCGAGCTAATAGCATGCACTTTAGAAGTGATTTATGCGTAACCAACTTAACCACAGCAAGTTTAGTGATAGTTCAGATGTAGATAAACTAAATACAGTATATCGATAAGTGGAAATTTTCATACCGCTACAAATACAACAGTTAGTGAAGTAATGCTGAAAGTTGAATCTCGCGTTTCATCCTTTCAGAAACCAAATTTATCTACAGCACAAAATGTGATACCAATAGGAGAAGTAAAGACTGTAAAAGGGAACATTTTCAAAAGCATGGAAAAATCTCCTCAGTTTTGCTGCTCACCAAAGTTTATTTGCTCCATATACATCAATTGACATCTTTTGTAAAGCTACACACTAATGATGTGGTAAATTCATGGATTTCATAGTGTTTGTTACTTTGGATGTGAAAACCAAAGCGTAATTCATTATATAAGGCGCTTAAAATACCTGAATTTATCTAAAATGGTCACCGATTCAGTTCCGAAGAAAACCTTATTCATGAACTTGGAATTCAAAGGTGATCAAGCTTCAGATATCCTCAGGAATCGTCTGTCTAAAGCAGTCAGTAAAATGTCCTTTGAAGCAAAATTACAAATGACGTTCACCAGCCGCATGTTGTTCTCCGTCTTTGTTAAATATAACCTCCCCCGTCTGGCCACCTCCATGTGCATCTACCACTTCACCTGCTCCTCTTGTGGAGCAAGGTAAACTGGCCGTAGTCAGAGGACGCTTTCCACACGGATACGAGAACTTATTCCGGTATGCTTTTACAAAGGAGAAAGGAAGGGTGTAAGAAGATCTATTCTAGAACACTTGATTGACTTCTGTCACTCTGCCAACCTTGACCGTACTTATAAGATCACCTACCGAATCCATGCTAACTTCCCGCGTTTTCTTCGTTACAGACTTCTAAAGAAAGCGGAAGCCTTGGCAATTCATGAATTTAAGCCAGACTTTTGTGTACAAAAGAAGTATGTACAATCCCTACTTCTGCCTTAGCCGTAGAGGGATAGACATTTATCTATTTATTTTGTTTATTTAGTTATCCTATGTAGCTTTCCCTTATTGCTACGATTATTATTATATTATTATTATTCTCACTCCGAATTGTTTCCACTTGTCCCACTTGTCATTCTAAATCCAAAATTATTATTTTTTTGTTTTTACAATATTGAATTCTATCTTTTCAAATTTCACGCCACGTTGTGTAGCATTTTATATTCGCCTACTAATCCTATAATACGCACCCGTTTCCAACACCTTATATATTACTATATTTATGAAACTAATCGTTTTGCTACTTGATATTTAACTATGACTACAATCACAAACATATTAATTGCATTTCATACTTCTGCTATTATTATTGCAGGTATTCACACCTTTCATCTAATTTACTCACCGGATATAATTTCCTAAAAAAGGTATATAAACGGTTGTACAGCTTGAAAATAAATTCGTAATGGAAAAGGGTCTCTTCGCTAAATATTGTGTTCTTAAATACAGAATGACATAGAAATCTCAGAAAAGAATACGAACGATAATCAACTCTAAGAAGACTGAGGAACGCAATTGCGACAGTGTTAGTGAACTGATGCCCAATTCTCTCGGAAAGACTAGAGGCTCTAAGCCAAAGGAAGTAGGAATCGCAAATTAAAATTACAAACCAGGGGTTCACTCTTCACAGAGTAAATTTATCTGATAAAACTATACACCGACTCAGCATTACTTAATGGTGACATCTCCAGGACAATTTATTACTGATCATAATCATATCAAGACGTTATTCACACAACTTTCCAGCTCCGTTTATGTATAGTTGCATTATTTCTCATCCCCTGATTTCATTGGTAGTTATATTTTTCCCATCTCTGGTATTCTTGATGAGTCATTTCCATTACATGTGTTGGGTGTAGGGGATTCTATGAGCAAAGGCTCAGTAATCAACTTCTGTCTCTCTCTGTCTCCATCTATCAATATTAATCCAAAAATAAGTTTTCAAATGTCCCCTTTCTCATAGGGTAGAAGTGTATATACTATAAACCCTTTCTTAGTAATGTTATGGTCAATAGTTTCCTTACCGTTTTTCCTCTTCTTTTAGGCTTTTCTGAACAACCTAATGAATTTTATAGGATATTTATTTGATACCAACGCTTCTTCTATCTGTTTTATTTAGTCATTTAAGTCTTTTCTTGCACTGCTTAGTGCTACTACTCAGTTTATTAAACACTTAACTAAGCCTGCCTTTACAGATAACGGATGAGATGAATTAAAGTCCAAGTATCTTTTAGAATGAGTTGGTTTTCTGTACACACTAGTGTGCGTGCAGAGAAACTTTAATGCGCAAGAAAATATATTAAAAATACAAAAACCTCAAATAACAATCTTATTCTTCGTTGGAATTGGAGACGCGAAATGACACAGCCGGCTGATGTAAGCCTTCTGGAGCCAGTCATCCAGGCGATGTGTGTTCTTCGGTGAAAGCAAGGATAAGAATGGGGACATGGAATGTCCGTACACTGTGCGAGGGTGGGGAGGCTGTTCAGGCGACCAGAGAAATGTGACAGCGTTGACCAAGAAGTAATTTTGAAACAACTTCAAAACTATGGAGTGCAATACCACAAATCTTTATCAAACTCGTTCAACAGCTGGCTGGTTGTATGACAATGCCAAGTATCAGGTGATCTACAATGGAAAACTCAGTGAAGCCTGTATTAGAAATGAATACAGGACAAGTCAAGACAAGACAGGAGTACTCTGCACTGACCAATAAGAGTACTCTAGAAGATCTGGATTTCGTGTGTAGATGATTTATGTTTAATGTGACACAGACTCGAAAACTTGTTGGCGAAAACCAACAAAGTGGCAGAATATGCATTCTGGCAGCGAATTCAGGACTCCACATGAAGTGAATATTAAGAGGATGGAGATGGAAGTGATGAAGATAACTAGCCAACCAACCAGCCAACCAACTAACCAACAACAAGAAGCACCAATCACCATCAACGGGAGAGATTTGGCAGAGGTTACCTCTTTCGCTTGTCCGACTAGGAGGCACGGTTTCAGCCACAACCAACGGAACGATGAAGCTGTCGAAACCAGCCAGCGAGGAACGGAAAGGCAAGATACTTCCTTGTGAACCTAAAAGCAGCTTGCGAAAAATATTCTTCTGTCCTCAGCATTAATAACAAAATTCGGAATGTCATGTGAGTCAGTTCTTCTATCCGAGTGAGAAACGTGGCTGGCATGTCACGGAAAGCATTCCCAACAGGCTATTTCGGACTCTTATCCATAGCTGTCCTCGCTGGCTCCATGCTGAAAATCAAATAGCTAGCCAGAAACAATTGTCAACAAGAAACTCAGCCTGGCAACAAACCAACCAAGAGCCGGTTGCTCAACAATATGTAGAATAAAATGGAGATGGACACAGGGTACATTGGGGAGGCTGTAAAATGACATCGCGCGCAATACAAGCCATAGCTTGAATGGAATCCGAATGGGTCCGAATCGGCGAGTGCGTCTTCGGTGCTATTGTAACATGAAGGAGATCGTGTAAAAACGAGAAAGAGATGAGAGATAACTGTCAGTCGTAGGGCTATCCAGATGAAAAGGACTTTAGAAAATACAAGAAAGCGGAGATGTGTTGCTGAAACCCTAAATTCCACTCGGAATCCTAAGGAATAATATAAATGGTTAAATAAAGAAAAAAACGATTGGGCATATCACTGATCCGGTGTGATCAGGGATCAGTGTAGTAGAGACGGCAGCTAAGATTTGACAGATATGATATGATAGGGGGTTAAGTCGTAGCAAAGTTGTATGTCGATTTGTGTTGCTGTACCACAGAACTATATCAAATTATTTGCATTTGAAAAGGACAGCTTAAAGTTATCAATAGACAGACCACAGAAGCTACGAATTTCCTGGAGTAATATGAGCAACGAGTCAGAATGAACATTTTTAAAATTACTAAAATTGCCCCTAGTGCGCTTAGCGAAAAAAGATCAAAACGAGATTTGTCCCAACATTTCGTTATGTAAGCCAAAGCAGAATTACTTGGATTTTATTAACCATTAAATTATGTAGCCAAATATTAAATAAATTAAAGTAGACACCTTTGAACACACTAAAGGTTAACATGTAATTTCTAATTATATATTTTGATGGTTAAAAAAATCCGAGTAATTCCGCTTTGGCTTACACAACTAAACGTTCAGAAAAATTCGGTTCGAATTTTTTAAATTGAACACAAACTAGTAACTAGCTTAATGTATCCCAGGCTTTCTTTGGTACAGCCTAAGTTTGCAACGTGGCCACCATGCTAGGTGGCTCACCATCACGGTACACTGTGGATTCTTCATACTGCATGGTTCGAGGCAATCGGTGGAAAGCCTTCAGCCTAGGTTTCGTGCTATTTGGTGCTCACCAAACAGCAAGGTTTATCTACAACCTTTGAAGAGACTCATGTAAGAGTTCGATTAACCATTTTGTTACGGGATGGTATGGCGAATTTAACATATGTAATACTGGTCGAAGCGGTACACTATTTTTGTGAACTTTAGGTGAGCCATATAGTCTTGGTGTGAATGTTCCAGTGGGTTTAAGTGTATCTACCAATTTAAATGCTCCTGTGGAGCCAGTTACATAGGCCGTACAATCAGGCGTGTTTCTCGTCGAATTTCCAAACGTCACCTGTGTGGTTAATCAAAGGAAACAAACAAAATCTATTCTCAGCGCTATTCCATTTCATCTTGTGATACATAACACAAGATTGACGTTAACCATGTTTTCAGGGTCATTTACTGCATTCCTACGAATCTCAATTTCGCCTTAAGAGTTCGATTACTAAATATTGCTGAGGCTGTTGGGATCCATATTGAGAAGCCTAATTTGTGCATCCGAAAGAAGTTAGTTCAAACATTATCATTACCTTGGCCATCCAGGTTTGAATAATCCTGAATTTTTGTGGAATTTTCCTAATTTTATTTGATATTCTATTTGCTGCTATATCTTTATTATTACTATTATAATTTATGCATCTTTAATGAACTGTAATTCCATTGTGATGTTACTTGACAAATTGATATTGTTTAAAAAACACTAATAATGTTATTGACTACTAATCTAGAATATTCTATGTATATAAACATGCAAAGAATATTCTTTACTCGATTATTTTGTGTTTTATAGATGTCTGAATGAATATTTCTGCTTTAACCAATTTATGCCTAATTTCTTCTATGAATGAATACAAGTGAAAAAAACAAATATAAAACAAGCAAATTAAACTTCTTTAACAACACGCCTAGACCGCTATCAAATACCGTACCACTGAAAACCAGGGAAACAAGTAGGAGGTTTTCAATAACTGTCATTGTAATAACACTTTATGAGAATTTTAAAAAAATGAATGAATGGAACCTACCCATGTCTATGGAATACAACCACATGAATGAGTGATGGCCAAATTTTGTAGGAATTTTGAATAATTTTTTCCAATTCTGCATAAGCCATTTTCACGTAACATTCATAATTTAAGGCTTTTACACCACCGTGCTTATTATTAGTATCATCATCGTCTTTTCTAGTTACGCCTAGATAATGCGTAATTCAGAAAGCGGTTACCACACTGACAGTTGTAACATCTTACCGAAAAATGTTGAAATGGCTCCAGCTGAGGCATTTCTAACTAAATTGAACACACTGGAACAGTCAATCGGTTCAGTAGATATTTTAGTATGGTATTGAGCATTCTTAAATATTGCAACAAAACTTTAATATTCGTCAGTAATAGTAATACTTACCATATTGTTGACAGAAAGTGATTGTATGCTAACCTCCACTAATCGGTGGCAAAACAGCGATTTCCTCTATCTCTTCAACAGAAATAGAATTGATGCTGTCTTCGGTATCCAAGTAGCACCAATTGACTGCAAGCGTTATACAATCTTTCAGTGGTTCCAATCTGATTAATTCATTAACTGTTAGCAGAAATAATGATGATACTTACTCAGCCAACTGATCAATGACAATACTCTTTAAAGCTTTTTGAGTACACGATTTAGGGAAGGGGAGGTGGATTTCTTTACAGCCAACTAATTCACTGGCTTCTCCGAATAGTAGAACTTTCTTACTGCATACACTCATTCACTAGTTAGTGATTGTGCATTGACTTGCAAAAACAGAATTAACACTTCATTATTATTTTAATATTAGTCTTCTATATTTTGAAATTGTTATACGATCGATATTTAGTCTGGTAGTTTACTGTTGTGATTGGTCGAATACATAATGGACGTGTAAATAAATAAAGCCAATCATAGGTCATGGTTTTCAACTTTTAAGCATATACACATTCAATCATATTATCATGATTATTTCTGTTACGTGTCAAGTGCAATAATTTCAAACACAATTTACCAATCGATAGGGTAGATAAGGAATGTGAAGAAATAAAACGTAGTATGTTTTTTTCAAAACTTACTCATTATGAAAAGTAAGTTAAGAGGTAATAGATAGCTTGAGAATCTCGCTTAGTCAAATAGCTTGCTTGTATCCTAGCTAGTCCCAAGCCCGGGTAAACAGGTAGGGTTAGGCGTGAGGCTAGTAACCCTACCTCACAAAATCAGTCATAAGGCTACAGAAATGTCAACGCACAAGAGGAATATTAAAAATACAAAAAATTCAAATAACAATCTTATTCTTCTAATTAAGTTATATATGTCCAAACCAAGTTCACTTTTAACGGTTTGAAAAAATGTGGGTATGTTATATTCATTATAATAAAGGTTTTTGTATTTCCCAATTAATGAAAAACAATATCGTTTTGTTTTTCATTCACTGGGAAATACAAAAACCTTTATTAAAATGAATCTTGTTCTTCGCTGAAACCGGAGAGGTGAAATGACACAGTGGGCTGGTGAAAGCCTTCACGAAGTTAATCAGCCAGCCAATGTGTACTTCCTATGAAAGCATGAATAAGATTTGGAACGCGAAATGTCCGCACAATGTACCAGGCTGAGAAGGCTGCCCAGGTAGCCAGCAAAATAAGTAGATATGGCATAGAATTTCTGGGTGTCTGTGAGAACGCATGGAATGGATATGGATCATCAAAATTATCAACTGGACATTGCTCACCTAGGCTATCTAGTAGAACTTAAATGGGAATCGATGAGCGGGTCGTCACTGAGAAGTAGGCACGGAGGAGATCGTGTGAATTGGAGTAGGAGGGGGAGATGAGGTCAGTCATGGGGCTGACCAGCTGAAGAGGACAGCAGAAAATAACAGAAAGGGTAGATGTATTGTTCCACTCGGAACCCAAGGGAATAATTATGATAAATCAAGAAGCTGGGGAATGAATTCGACGCCAAATTCGAGCACAAACTAATGCTCGAAACGTCATCAGTTAATACTACTGTATAACACTGTGTGATTTATCATAATAAAATCTTATCTATATTGGAGTTATACTCTACCACAATGCCCAAGTTTTATACTTATATCGACACCATTGAGTTTCATAATGCAGACGGAAAAATAAAAAATAGTTCTTTAGGAAATTATACGAGAATTTTACCTTGAAATTCATTCATCTTGTTCTGAAGGGTTCCACGTTTTAGAAGATAAAGGAAAGGAGATTGAGCAAAGAATATTCCTTTCGGCAAATTCTTCATCTTCATCCACATTTAGATATTATTATTATTTATTATTTATCCTTTATTCCTAGAGGAACATAGGGCTTCAGCTGCGCACCTCATTGACTTCGGTTTTTGACAACTTTTCACCTTGCTCCAGGTCTGTCCACATGCTTTCATCTCCTCCTCGCATGACCTCCTCCAAGTCACCTTGGACGACCAACTCGCCGCCTCCCTTTCGGGTTCCACTCATTTAGATATGTACATATAATATTTAAAGAATAATCAATATCCACAATATGGATGCATTCTAAACAATTTCGAGTCATGGAGATCAATAAAACTATAGTTCAAACACTCATGTGTAATTTTGATAAAATGCACAAATATGTAATAGTAAATTGAATACGAAATAAAATTGGGAGTAGGAAGATTTTTGCAACAATTGAAGGTGGTCAAAACAATGGTAAAATGATTAGAAGGAAGGGGAAACTGTCAGATTGTTACAAAGACTTAATGATGGTCAAGGTAGGAGAAGCGTCTGAATGAACTTCTTCTGAAAACATAATATATGCTTCACCAGGTCATTTCTGAGTAATAATTTAACCAGAACCCATTGTGAGCCCTTAAAGATTAAGGTAATTAGTCTTCAGAGCTAGATTAACCTGTTTTGATTACTGCCCGAATAAAGAACTCAAGATTACTAGGCAATTACTGAATGAAAATAAAAATGTAGAAAAGTTCGTTGCTATAAATATGAACTCAAAGCCAAAGAAAGCTGATATACCAACGACTCCGAAGAAGACTTTGCTCCTAAAACTTCACTCTGTTGGTGGCAACATCAGGAAAGTAATAATACAACTTTAAAGAATGTAGTTCACACTTAAACCTGTAAGTTACAGAGACACCAAGAGAAATAAAATGTTACTTTGGTGTTTGATTAACACCAGTTGAGGAAATTCAGTTCTTCGATATGGTTCAGAAACTTAGATGGTTAGGACATGTGGTACACATGCCTAGTCTTTCATCGCCTTCCTCGACAGGGAATATAGCTGCTTAAGGGTCAGGGTGGATAAGAACTAATGGTGGTCAAACCAAAACATGGCCTTATCAGTCAATGAGGAAATCCACAACAATTGGTTTAAGCCTGCCACGTACGGAGGTGTAAATTTCCTGGTTGGGGTCCTCGGGATGGTAAAAACCAATGACGGCTGGAGACAATTTATGATATGGCTCAAAACCGTTCTCAGTAGCGCAGATGCATCCATTGCTTGTGACTTATAATACCCAATGAAACTATATCGTTCTTCGATATTACTATTCCTTTTGTCTCATATCCCTGTCTACTGTCTCTATTTTGAATTTCTTCTACTTTCTTCTGTTGCTTTGTGTGCTACATGGAGGGAGTGTGGCGATTTGAACTACTGCAGACCGGTGCAACGTTCTATGTTGAAACCAGTCAGTCAGTAAGTTTTAGCTTCTTAATGTAGTAGTTTAGAGAGAACAATTTCTTAGAAATCGATAAGATATTTGAATGACGAAAGAAGGTTCGAGGATAGGACTATTCCGAGGTATTTTCTGGTTGACTTAGTTTCTGTTTCACTGGACTTTATACTAAAAGGGTCTTGTAAAATAACCAGTCCTTTTAGATCACATTTATGTCTAAAAGTGAAGTTAGTACTCTGAAATTTACAGGGATTTAAGGAGAGCAGCTTTTCTAGCCTTTTCGGATGTTTGCTTTTGAGTATCTCAATTTCAATTGGTATATTAAAATTAGTTCCGAAAAAGTTCTGTTAGACATAGTCTACTGATACGCTGAAATGCTCTTGTTATTTTTCTTGCTCAAGAACGAATTAAACTCCAGTATGACTTCTAATGGAGTGAAGTCTGAGAATGTTATTCCTAGCATAGACTTAACGCTAAACCCAACAGCTGAAATTATCCCAGCCTTATGTTCATTAGCACTATAAAAGAAAATGAAGTCAAACTTAACAAAATCAGAAAACTGGCTCTAATGAATCTTAAAAATGATAGATACATAATCATTGCAAAGCCGGTTGGATAACGGCAACTCAACGAATGTTATGAATGAACCAGGCTACAACAAGAACCATAGAAAAAATAAGATTGGTGATGAAGACGACAAAAATAATATAGAATTCAAAACCTCTGTAGTACAGCCATGTTAAGAAGAAATGTAAGAGAGGCCTTATGCAGGATTCTCTTTGGGGTGGAATTAGTTAGAGGAGCCAGCCAGCCAACCAACTCTCTCTCTCTCTCTCAGAGATAAACTATGTCGGCTTAAGGACCCAGTACATCCAATCAGGAAAAATAATATAATTTACCAAATACACCATGTAATGACTGTAACGTCATTTACATGAGTCATACTAGTAGATCGAGGTCAGTTCAATTATTGAAACATAAAACTTTTGCTGGATCTAGAATGATTGACCCTGCTAAATTAAATAACCTAATAATAATAATAATTTGATTTATTCCAAAACAGTACTTGTGATACAGAATGGAATTCTCAGCATTTCACTACAGTATTGCATCCAATTAGTACATTAAGAATAAATAAATAAAATTCTACATAGACTATGGGTAATCTCAGTTTATTATGGCAACAGCATATTGCCACGTCGGTAGCAAAGCCAAAATTGAAAAGTGTGTTTGAAGGTGTTATAAAAGTAGATACTAGCATATTTACTGGTGTGAGCGGTAACAAAAAGGACGACATATACAGAGTGTGGGAGAACGAAGAAGAATGTTTTAAGTAGAGTTTGTAAGGAAGAGAGAAGCAAAGCAGCACATAACACAAACAGAGAGAGAGAGAGAAAAGGAAAAGAAAGAAAACGTTGTACCTATAAATGATATGAGTTGGAAAGACGAGATCCAATTGTTCTACTGACTATTTAATAAGCTATAAGTTTCACGTCTAATGCTTTCTTTGTCACACAGAACACGAGCTAAGTAGGGTATGGTTGAGTTTTTGTATTTACTAGTGCGAGCATATAGTTTTCTATATAGGCAGGCTTCTGGTCTGCCTGCGTGATGAGATACAAGGGGAGAGTTGTGAATGAAGAGGGTGTTGTGAGTTCGATAAAATGGATTCAGCCCATTTTTCACATGAGTCGAAGTGCCTGTTGACCAGAATGTTAACAAGCTGGTTAAGTGGCACGTAGCTTACCCTGCTGACAACCTTTAACACCTGCGTAATAAGGTATAGTCTTTCTTCATTAGCCCAGGAAAAACTAAGGGGGAAGAATAGAGAATAATAGGCAGAATACGGGAGTTAACAAATTATAGGAGTAATGGTTGGGTTATTCCAGAATGTCTTAACTTCTTGATGTAGAAGGTAAGACGGAATATTTTCTTAGAAATCATCAGATTTGAGACGACCAGGAAAGATCAGCAGATAGAATGACGCCTAGATATTTAATTTCCGGCTTGGTTTCTATTTCAGTGCCATCTTTGTTGCACAGCTCGTGTGAGTGCTAACCAGTTTGT